GAGCCCCATATAAGGCTGCTTTCACAGTGATCCACCTGCGGCATTCTTGGGGGTTTGGTATACTTTCTGATAGCGCACCAAAACTCCTGCATTCAGGAGTTTATGCGCGCTTTCAGAACTTGCACCAAACCCGCAGGATTTAATAGAAGTCTATGGCTCAGTGCAGCTAACCTGCAGGAAAGCCACAGGGGCACTGTGCTGCACCCGCGGATCAGTGTGAAAGCAGCCTAATAGTTGTTAACCCTTTTATAGGTGCCAACATGCCAATTGCAAAAGTAAAGTGTATGTGTTGTATACTTCAAGGTGTCCCTAAAGTCTGAAAAAATATTAAAAGTCTGCAAAATGCATATTTTCAATACATTTCAATATATTTTTCAACAACTTTTTTTCATTGGAATATTATTCAATAACATCTTCAATGTGATCAACACCATTTGTAATGCAAAGTTCCATGCGCTTTGCAAGATTCTCATGAACCTGGTGTAGTAACTCCACATTGCTGTCAATTTGAGCACATTCATTCCTCCTGGTGATTCATATCTGTGATTTTCATTGTGTACACCTTTTCCTTTAGCATACCCCCAAAAGAGAAGCCAAGGGTGTTAAGGTCTGATGAGTGATATATATATATATATATATATATATATTATATATACACATATGTGATAGTTCCTATGTGTCCAAACTGTAGGGACACCCTGTACACTGGCCTCCTTTTCCTCTTCCAGCTTTTGCTGGCATCACTCTTTGTCTCCAGGCTGCTAGAAAGGCCCCAAGTGAAGTGGATTTGGTATCAATCTGCCTGGGGCAGGAGCTGGCACTACAGAGGCATCCGTTTATGTGGCTCCTGCTCCCTCCATGGCCACTTGATTCCTCGTCTAATACTCTGGGACGGCAGGTTGGCAAGCCCAGATTGTAATCAATGGGTTGCTGATCCCGGGCGTGCACTTTCCTGGTTTGAGGTCAAAGGCCACATTAGAGGGCTACATGTTGATCACCCCTGGCCTAAAATATCCTCCCCAGCTGGTGGGAACCACTGTTTTCTTTTTAACATCCAAGGTTCTAATCAGTATAAAAAGACACTGACAGCATATCCGGCTTTAGTTATGAATGAACAGCTTGTTACACCACTTACTGATAGCAACAATGTAATGATTTTGTTAATTAGTTGCATCAAACCTACAGGTTTAAAAATATAAAGTTGATTTCTATTTAACCCCTCATTAACCCCCTTATTTGTTCTAATTAACATCTTCCTTCTCGCTTTTTAAGAGAGTTAATTTTGCTGATTTTTCTACAATTCTTTTCACTGTTCAGATGCAAACTTTTTAATGTTTTTATTCATTGCATTCATTAGTTTTATTTATTGTTGCATTTATAAAATGCACCAAATGAAAAACAAATAGTTTTGTTGATTTGTAAATAACAACTTCCGCCTAGACAATCTCAGTGGGAGCGAGCGAGTACCTGTCAAATTCGGGTATCCACTCCCCAAAGGTGCCAACCTTATTGGGGAGCGGGGGACAAAGGCTTAAAGTGGAAGTTCCCCTTTTTGGTGGAGCTCCACTTTAAGTCACAAAGCAAAACAGAAGTGATGCAAGCAAGCATTTCCTGTAAATGTGACTTAAACTAGATCTGGAATGTTGAAATTAAACCTGTTCATTGAGTCATTGCCCTGGATCTTGAATGCAACACCTGTCACAGAATGGTTTCCATCACAGTTGAAGCAAACAGGTGTTTTGCTTCGTGAGACAGCATTGTGTTCCACTGAGTATGGTACATGATGCCTCCTTACCGCTGCTCATTTAATATAGAAGAATGATCTGCCCAAAAATGTCCTATTTCTATTAAGATTTTTAACTAGATTGTGATCTATACTCCTATTGTAAAGAACTACTTTGATCATTTACAGCTCAATTGTTGAAGTACCTTTATTTATGTGGTACGGGCTAGTGCTGTAATACTTTTCCTAATCTTCTTTGATTTTTAATCTATTGTACAAAAAAGAGAAAGAACACCTGTTATCTGTGTTGTCATTGTGTTGTGAGGAATTATGTGTTGTGCCATTATTTTGGAAGAGGAAGCATATGCATTTACAAAAAAAAAATGATGAAATACTCTATAAACCACTTTATGCATAATGGCAAACGCAATAGTTAAAACACAGCTTGCACAACTTTAGCCTACATGGCGACTGACTCTATGTATAGGGAAGACGATGAGCGTTAAGTGAAATATATTATTTTATGAGTTGCATCCTCTTCCTTTCTTCCTTTTCCTTTCAGCTCACATAAACAGGAAAGCTCTAGCTTAACATGAGTAATCCTATATTATGTGGCTCATTCAGAATTTATGGTGCACTTTCCACATGCACCAGATCACTGAGTCCATTGAGACATCTGTTCAAAACTACTGGGCTTCAAAGAGTAGAGAATGAATGCTTGAGCAGTTAGCACTGGCCTGCTGGACAGAATTCAGCCTTTCTAAACATTAGGTGTGTTTTAACTTCCAAAGATGAATTTGTTGGTTGTTCCATGCAATCATTTTTACATACATTTGAATAAAAAAAAACACAAAATTAATTTTGTGCTCTTATGTTTACATCACATAAAACAAGGAGAAGATTAATGTAATTTTATATTTTTCAAAGAATGTACATTTTTAGTTTCAGGTTATGGACTTGTTTCGAAACTACAAATCCCATGAGTGAAGCAAAAATCAAAAACAAGGTGTCGTGCTCCACTAACAATAAATAAAATGTGAAATTTATAAACATGCACAAATAAGAATGATTGAAAATATATATATATATATATATATATATATATATATATATATAATAAAAATTAATTAATTAATACAAAATTAATAAAATAAAGTGAGTCAATTCAACAATATAAAGTGAGTGAGTCCAACATTAATTCAGCAGCATGATGTTGCAATCATACTGATGCTGCGTGCGTATCTTTGAATAATCTGTGACTTTGATGTGTCTTTAAATGGTGTAATAAAAATAAGTAGCGTATAGTCCACCAATCATTAACTTATGTGTTCCTTCACCAGTTCTGCTCTCACCTGACGTATATGGCTAAGCCATTACAGGAAGTCAATAAAAGCTTGTGTCCCTTTATTTGGACTCAAAGATGAGTACATGAATGTATCCCTGTTTCCCGGACTGATGAATGGATGAGTGGAGTGTTTCCCTTTTCCCAGCAGGGGTTCTCGCCACTTCACAGAGACCTATTTCCTGGTAGCGGATGGATGGATGGAGTTATCCCTCTTCCCACTACTAGGGGGTCTCTTCACTCCCTTCAGATTTTTTTCTCCATATGCATAAGTGCCATGTAACTTAATAAATAGAATATAGTGCCTTATCTTCTTTTTAAAATATTTATTAAACAAATGTAGTGCACTCACATGAAATATGAATTAAAATCGCTTTTTTTTACAAAAATATAAGGATCCTCAATATGTTTGCCACACTCCAACATACTTGCTGTGTAGTTGCCTTTAAGTGTCGTGACGTCAGAGCCCCTCCCCCTTATACTTATTTTTATTACACCAGTTAAAGACACATCAAAGTCACAAATTATTCAAAGATACGCACGCAGCATCAGTATGATTGCAACATCATGCTGCTGAATTATTGTTGGACTCATTCACTTTATTTTATAAAATTTTTATTAATTTATTTATATATATACATATATATATATATATATATCTTTTCGATCATTCTTATTTGTGTATGTTTATATATTTAACATGTTTTTATTGTTAGTGGAGCGAGACACCTTCTTTTTGATTCATTTATAGTGACACACTTGTATGAGTATGTGTATAGTGTAGGCGACCCACTCATTTATTTAAATATTTTACACACCAGTTTATTCATTATATTTTTGTATATACTTTACTTAGTTCACCTAATTTCACATTTTGGTGGAATTTTATTAACCAACCGATAATATATTTTGAGTGAATGTATGAAAAATATATATCTTTCATAAGATACACAATAGTAGCTCACAAGAATCACGTTTCTTATACAAATCTCATGAGGCATTTCAAGATTGACAGTTACAAGCATGACTCCAAAGGCAGAGGCATGATGGGACTTGTAGTTTTGCAACAGCTGGAGGACAGCCAGTTTGACACCCCTGCTTTAAGCTAAACTTAAAGCCCAACTCCCCCCTTGCAGTGGGGCCCTCTGCACTGCAAGCCTTGTACTGCACATGATGATGCCGAGGCTCTGCCCATAGATCGGAGCTGGCTGGATCACGGATCACTAAGTAGAAAGAAAGAAAAGAGAAAAAAAGAAAAGCAATGCAGCCCCCACAATTAAGGATTGTTAACCTCTTCACGCCTAAGGGTAAAACAAATCCTAATGCCTAAGCACTATTTTGCAACTTTAACATGAGTTAGTAAATCCATACATATCATCACAACTGCTTTTACATCCAGGTGAATTATATCTTTTTTTTTCAGGAAAAATTGGGCTTTTGTTTGATGGTGAATGGTACTGGATATCACCTGATTTGTTTTTATTATCAAAGAATAAGTGTCTCAAAACAGTAAAAATGTAAAATTTAGCTGTATATTTTGTGTTACTACCATAACCTACCACCAAAGAACAACCACCAAGAAAATACATTTTCCTGCTCCTGGTGATCACAGCAATGCCATATATGTGTATGTTATTTATTGTTTGTACCTGTAGTACAGCCCAGAAACAATAGCACACATTTTGCAATTTTTTATTTTTTTGTCCTACCTAAAACACACTGACACTGACTGATACTGATACTAATTCAAAAAAAAAAAATCCTGTCCAAAATATACTGACCCTGACCTTTGACCCTGACCTTGACCTTTGACCTTTACTTGACCCAAACACTAACCCTGGCACTGACCTAGATCAAACCTTGTGCTTGGTATTTTTTCTTTCTTTTTTAAAATATTTATTTATTTATTTTTATACACCGTTGGTTTTTTTTCACTCTCTTAACCTCCTTAGCGGTATTCCCGAGTGTAGCTCGGGGTAAAATTTCTATACCAAGAGCGGTAACCCCGAGCTACACTCGGGCTTACCATGCGGCGTTCTCTGGGGGTCCCTGCAGCATTTACCTTGTCCTTCGCTCCCACGATCTATCCCCTCCAGCGTCCCCGGCCATCTCCTCCGGCCGATGCTGGCATCCGGCTCCTGTGTTCCGGTCCCTGTGACGTCGGGACGTACGGGCGCCGGAACCGGCGGAAAATTTAAATTTTTTTAAAAATGTCATTTTTGCTGTCATTGCTATTTCAATGCATTTCACATACATTTTGTCCCTACTGCTTTGTCCTGTGCCCTGCCTGCATTTTGAATGTTCTTTCTGCCTGGAAACTTAGCAAAGTCCATGGTGTCCAAAAAGCGTCCCTTTACGTCAAAAGCGGTTTTAGAACAGCGATAGTAAATCAGAACCACTTGCAGAATTGAGTGATAATGATTCGTGGGGAAATTCGTCATCAGACACTGAAAACGATTTTGGGACTTTGCTCAGCGATGTGCGAATTTGCCTCTGTATTACAAATTTCAGTGTTTTTGGTTTGATTATATTATTGAATTAAATTTATTATTATTATATTATTATTTTTTATGATTATTTATTAAATTATAATTTATGATTTCGTGTTTCAAATTTTATCATATCCGGAATGTTTAATAGACTCTTGTTCGAACAGATTTCAATGAGTTATTCCTAAAAATTACAGCCTACAATAAAAAACTACATATTTCCATGCAAAAAAATGGTACCGCTTTCAGCACAAAAAAACGGAAAGAATCATACCGCCAAGGAGGTTAAAGGACGAGAGAGATACAATGTATCTCTCTCCTCCGTTCAGAGAGAGAAATAACAGGGGTGGGCTTCACAGTAACTGATCACTGTGATAGCCAATCAGAGATCAGGTGACCCAGAATCGGGAGTTCCGGGTCCCGATCATTAGTACGGGGCTTGGGGCTCATGGAGAGACCCCAATCTCTGTGATCGGAGAGTGTTGTGTGGTGCGCTCTCAGCACAAAGGGAAATATGCAAATATGTGGCCCCACGACAGAAATCCCAGTGCAGTAAGGCCACATATTTGTGTGAAGTCAGCATGAAGGGGTTAAGCTGCAATATAATAAATATTTGTATCTGCGTTTAATACCACTTTAAGTATGGTGGTACTATCGGCCAGAAAGGCCAATCATTATATTGATGGTCTAAAAGGAAGGAGTGGGAGAGGCAGCTCTTGACCTTGCTAGAAGGTGAAAAATTGACATATTACAGTATTCTTGGACCCAGGGTTCCCAAAGCAATCAAGAAGACATTTAAAGATATGTACATACACCACGGGGTGTTTTTAGTTCTGTGCTCAATTTAGTACAATTTTAGTACTGAAAGGTATACTTTAAAGGATAAATTCACCTTTATAAAAAAAAAATAAATACACATCTTTTTGCAGGTAAAAAAATTAGCATTTATTTATTTTTTTACTAGTTGCATGAAAAGCATTGCACCCGCAAGCAGCTGATTGCAGGTGCAATGCAGGACTCCCGAAGGTTGTCTGTGTAAGCTGTCTGCTTGTACCTCGTACAGGCAGGCAGTTACATAATCATGGGAAGAAACAATGAAATACCTAGAGTGCTCAACAGTGATCTACTAGTTCATTGAGAGCTATGAGCTGACTGCCGCAAAGACTGTCAGTATTTGTAGTTCTCCCATTCGCAGAACTCTTTGAATGAATGACATGGCGGGTGGGTGGAACCATGCCCAGACGCATTGTTTTAAAAGTTTGACAGCGAGAGGTCGTGGAGAAGATCCCTGACTCGCTGTCAGTAAACACGGCAGATTGGGGCGTGGCTGCAGCAAAAGGAACATGTTACATGTTCCACCCTAACAATGGGCGGAACATGTAACAAGTTCCCAAAGGTGAACATATCCTTTAAAATAAACCTGTCATTCTGATACTGATACCTACCTTCTTCACTTACCTGTTTGCCTGCCAGAGCCCTGATTAAGAAACCTTGTGTATGTTCAGTGCTGGTCTGTGTCAGAGCTTACACAGGTCTATGGATTTTCCCCTATCTCCCTTGTCTCACCCTGGCATTTCAGAGGTCTTGGCTAGTAAATGGAGTGGTGGGGTAGTGCAGGGAATGCAGTTATGATGGTGGGACAAAGTGACATGTTTACTTTAAATCAAACATGACTGAAATCATGTGTTCTGATTAGGGTTGCACAGATACCGTTTTTTTTATCAGCGAGTACGAGTACCAATACTCAAGTACTTGCCAATACCAATTATTGATACCTTTGTGGTGCAATTTAAGCCCCTACAAATTGAATGGGCTCAAATCATACTGCAAAGAATCGCATGTGATTTGAACAGGAATGTGATGCGATTCTTGTCTGAATCACATATGGTTTCCCTGTGGGTGTGATGTGATTTGTAGTGCAATGTGAGCCATACAAAATGAAAAGCTCAAATCGCACTGCAAATCGCACAGCACCAGCAGGGAAACTGCATGTGATTAGGACAGGAAGCGCACCACTACTTCAACTGAAGTAGTGCAATTTTAGTTCAAATCACGTGATTCTTTGCAGTGTGATTTGAACCCATTAATTTTATATGGGCTCAAATCGCACCACAAAGGTATCGGTTTCAGGTATCAGAGCATTTGCACGAGTACTAGTACTCGTGCAAATTCTTAGTATCGGCACTGATACCATTACTGGTATCAGTGCAACCCTAGATCTGCTTGTTATCCATCAAGATGAGTAGCACTGGTGGTGCCCACCCTGACAACTGTCATCCTTCTTTACTGAGCAAGGTTAAGTATCGCTGTTTATGTATGGCCACATGACAGAGATGCCTAAGAGCAGTTAGATCACATCTACACCTCCAAACACCCAATTGTATGGGTATCCTTACTAACCTATCACTTGAAGCTCTTGGTCCACATTGGTTGTGGCTTCTTCCAGCAAGGACACCAGCTTGGATGATATTTGACAGACAGACTCAATGTTGCTGAAGAGAGCATCCACATCAAAGCGGTCTGACTGTATGAACACAAACAATAAATAGGTTAATCAAAGAGCCTGAATATATTAAAGGTTCTCATAGTACAACAAGCGTGAAGATGTCTGACAGTTGCATAATATGGCTGGCTTTGGCCAGAACAAGTGACAATTTCATGACTATGGTGGACATCAGACACCCCTAGCTGACAGATCTTATGGGAAATAGAAAACATCCTTACCTGAGTGGTTTGCTATTGTAGGTAGGAAACCTGATAAGCCAGTACTACAAGTGTCTACTGCAGACTCTACCACCCCTTTCCATAGAAGAAACTTGCAAAATCAGCTAAGCTGAGTGTACATTTTTAGAGAGCTGTTGGCTAAGAAAGAAACTCTTAAAGAAGAGAAATCATACTTACATTTCTGACTCCCACTACATGTGTAGTAAGTTGTACTTCTCTGCTCTTTATAGGAAAAGGAATATAGATCAATGACAAGGAATTCTGATAGCTAGTTATTGTTTCATAGATGATTATTTTTTACTAAATTGTGAAGTATGGCTAGCTTGAAAAATCTAAATATGGCCTCTACATGGTGACAAGCTATCTAAAGGTGTTCTTAAAAACACTTTATTTTTTAAAACACCTACAGAATGCTACTGAACAGGGGTGGGGTGTGGTGGGGGTGGTCACTAGTTTCCTACAAAGAACATAATAATAATTTGAACTGTCTAGTCACTGCAAAGGCACTACCGTTCCCTTTCAACCAAGCTCAAATTTGAGAATTTGTTGGGTTTAAGAGATCCATGTAACAGCTACTATAACTATATTAAGCTGGTAAATTAAAAATCTGCAGTTTTCTCTGATATACACACACACACACACACACACACTTTATGGTTAAGTGTATTGCATATTTAGGTGTGTAAATGTTCAAGCACACATGTACACTGACACACACGCACTGGATATCACTGTTCAAGTTACTATGCTCCCTGGATCACATTACAGTCAAAGGAAACCATAGAAGCTGCCTTTTGCACTAATTTCCATGTTACACGGATCAGCAAATAGATGATGTCACCAGCATTAATGTGGAAGTCATCCAAGTTGAACTTTCCCTGCTTGTAATGTGAATGAAGTAATCATTTTAAAGTAGTCCTCACATTCATCCTATTTAGTTAAGAATAAAACTACCCCTGTGCTGAAGGAATATATGCTGTGATGGGATATTTGGGTCCTAGATGCCTGTTATCATGATTAAATTAAGACTTAATAGAAGAAACGTTGTATATCTTTTCCTTGGTTCATTGTAATCCACATTTCACTAGTTTTAAATTCTCAGATGATATCAATTACTGGAATCTATATTCCTGACCACTATCAATGGGCATTATCTTTCCAAAATGGTACAGAAGGTAAAGTGCAATGAGCTGTTACTTATAATAGCCAATCATATTTGTCTTTGAAACCAGTCTAGTGTAAGGCTTTTGATCTCATTTTTTATGTTTCATAAACATTCCTCTTCCATCTAATGAATACACCTGCTACAGTACACATGATCACAATCTTTATAATGGAAAAGGGGGAACAAGTTGATTTTGTAAATTAAAAGAACCAGGAGATTTAGCATTTTGTTAGAAGACAAGTTGACTAAATATGCCTCACACAATATTGCGGGTGCAGAATAATGGTGGCAACATATAATGCACTGTACAACATAACCATTTTTTTCATAATAACTAGGCCATCAAATGTATTATGAAGCACAGGAATAACAAAAGGAGACTGATAATCCCCATATACAGGGCAGGTTGTGTAGGGCTGCTGGGAGTATCTAAAAGGTCCATTTTATTGATAGTGCAATTGCTCGAATTCCAGGCAATATGTCATCGAATTACAATTTGATATCGAATTTTTAAAATAGTTCTGTGTCTTCTGTTATTGATTGATTGGCAAATTACCCCACTGTTTAGTAGATAACATCTTATAAGATAGGGATCCCCTGATGAAAACACAGGACAGTGAAAAACTCACATGATGTTCCCTAAGTGGATGAACAACGTCTTTGATACAAAGTTCCAGGTCATTCAAGTAGTCCTTTTCTGTCTGGATTAGTTCTGAGATAATCTTGGCTCTCTTTTCCATTTTCCTCCTCTGTAGCTCCTCTGTGTCTTGAATGGGAGACGTCGGAGCGGACGATGCAACATTGGGTGCCATCTTTTCTA